ACAAAAACAACCAAAACAACATTATAGCTATAGCAAATAAATAAGACCAAAGCCGTAGAGAACCATTTATGCGATAACTCCACTTATTTAAGTCGCGTCTTATGTAAGTCGCGACTTATTTTGTCACGTATAAATGGCCCCAATGTCAATTCTTTTCATTCTATGTGGTAGTCAATTGAGAGACGTAGTTTATTTTTTGTTGCTCCTACGTAACTATCAACATTTCCAAAGTTGACCCAAGGCATTTTTTAATACCATGGACAGGTGGGGCATTTGCCCCACTGGGCCCCTTCCTCTGCCCCACCACTGATGGCCTATTGCCTCAACGTCAGAGCCCAAGCACCTGTATTGAGTAAATGAGTTTAACATTGAAAAAAGTTTATGTTGTGTTTGAAAGTTTAGCATGCAATTTATTACAAATTTCACCATTAGAACTTTGTTCTGAGAAGCTGAGATTTTTTTTAAATGTGTTCTCAGCAGTGCAGGAAATGCTGTTTCAGAGACCCGAATTTTACAAATTTCCTGGGGGCATGCTCCCATAACTAACTTGTGCTTGTGGTACTCGGCTCACACCTTCGGCGATCACATACTATCCTGGGGGGTGTGGTCAAGGAAAATGAGCCCTTTGGCAGTTTTGCCCCACCACTGAAGAATTCTTAAAAAATGCAATGAGTTGACCACCATCTGTTTCCTGGGAACTCAAGTTTTTACCATGGAGAGTAAATCCTGAGGCAGGTTGATGTGATGTTCATATCAAAATGTTTTCTTCTATCACTCTCCAATAAAACAGTCACGTGTTTCGGCAAGAAAGGTTCCATGTCTTGTGACAACACGTGACATGTGAGGATGTAGACACCATGATCCAGGTTCTCTGATATCACTCGCACCGTCAATGTACCTTCAGCAGAAGAAGAGTCTGGAATATACATGAATTACAAAGTTATTCATTGTCAGGAGGAAACAAATCGCGTACTTACGTGTTCTTTCTTCAGCCAAGTACCAAATCAAAAGGGGCCTCCAAAACAACGAAGTCCTTTAAATTTACTTAAGAATTGCTTAATTGAGAATACAAATCCTAGCTGTGTCAGAGCCGAATGATATTGTAAAACACCATTTCTCCTGTTTTAAAATTATGACGTCATAGAAGCGTTTAACATATAAACAAGACATTCCAGTAACTTGGTCATCGCCGCCGCGGAGTAGTCAGAGCGCTGGCACATCCAACCTTGTGCTGTTAGGACATTTGAAAGCATTCATACATTGATGAGGAAAATGAACAATACTAAAGATTATTACCATCATCATTTTCTCGATTCTTCTGTTGTGTTTTGTGAAGCCAGAAAGATCTACTACAATTTTCTTGCATAATTAATTTTTGCAATCTCTCAGCCAAGCCATTTCTACAATGAAGGAATCGTTGAATCAGTAAGGTCGTTCTAAATCTAAGCCAAAGTAGTGGACGACTTACGCTTTAGACTAAATTTTAATCTAAGTACGAACAACGAAATCTTTCACCACAGCTAGAAAGAGCGTCTTGGAATTAGTAATATTACAAAGTTTGGTTGCGAAATGTTGTAAAATACGGAAAATATAG